ATCGAATAGATTTGAATTCAATTTTATATCGGCAAGACGAACGTGCTTCTCTATAAAAATTAGGGTTAAAGTTTAGCGACACATTTTTCGAGAAAACTAATTTATATAATTTAAAAGTTCGCGGTCGCTACAAAAGTGATTCAGCCCATCCCAACCCAGTCCAGTTTAAGCCCAAGTCCAATAAAGCTGGCAACATCTCCTTTACTTAGGGCAATAGCCAATCACGCATATTAGAATCTGTCATTATCTTGTACATAATTGTTTTCCTCTTATATCTACATGTACAGCTAGAAATTAGAAGTGATTAGCGTAGATTCATCTCTAATTTCTTAGAAATAGTTGCATATATATGAAAAGCCTATCATTGATGAAGGCATTGAGACAAATTGACATGGTATCAGAGCTATCTTTCTGAACTTAGTCATTTACGCTTCTTTCTTTTGGTTCCTATTTTGGTTTCGCCCATAGGGGCTCTCGAGTTTCTCGTATTTTTCTGGAGTTGCAGTTTTTTTTTGGTGACCAGATTTCTAGTATTTTGTTGGTGTGTAGATTCTGCAATTTTTTTTGGAATTTTTGGGATTTTTTTTGGAGAACGACTGTGGTAGTTTGTTCTGTTTTTCTTTGGTGTTTCTGTCAGCTTTCCACATTTTGAAGACTTCTTTTCTCTACTCTTCTGGTCTTTTTTTTTAATTGTAATGGCAACCGAAACTTTTGGTGCACGCTTCACTGGAAAGAATTATTCCGCCTGGGAGTTTCAATTTAGAATGTTCGTCAAAGGCAAAGATATGTGGGGTCATATTGATGCGTCATCAAAGGAACCAACTGGGACAACAGAGCTTGCTCAATGGGAAGCCAGGGATGCTCGAATTATTTCCTGGATTTTGGGATCCATTGAACCACATATGGTGAACAATTTGCGGTCCTTTACAAAAGCCAAGGAGATGTGGGACTACTTGAAACACATCTACAACCAAGATAACAATGCAAGGCGATTTCAGTTAGAGTTGGAAATTGGAAATTACAGCAAAGGCAATCTCTCTATTCAGGAATACTATTCTGGTTTTCTCAACCTGTGAACCGAGTATTCGGGGATTGTTTATGCGAAAGTACCAAAAGAGGCACTGCTTGTTCTGAAAGAAGTTCATGATGCTAGTAGACGGGATCAATTTCTCATGAAACTTAGACCAGAATTTGAGGTTACAAGGGCTGCCCTATTAAATAGAGATCCTATCCCCTCGTTGGATATGTGTCTCAGTGAATTACTTCGAGAGGAGCAGCGGACATTCACTCAGGCTGCCTTGGCACAAGAAAAGTTTGCTTCAGATGTTGTTCCAGTCGCTTATGTTGCTCAAGGAAGGGGAAAAGGCAAGGAAATAAACCGTGTTCAGCGTGTTCAGTGCTACTCCTGCAAGGAGTTTGGTCACATTGCAAAGAACTGTGGGAGAAAATTTTGCAACTACTACAAGCACTATGGGCATTTTATTAAAGAGTGTACTATAAGACCAGAGAACCGCCAAGCAAATGCGTTTCAAGCAGAGGTTCATCCTTCTACTTCTATGGGTCAGGTTGGTGGTGCAGCTCCTTTTCCAACACATTCTGGAACTTCTAACCAGGTTAGCATGACTCCAGAGATGGTGCAACAGATGATAATTTCATCATTTTCGGTTTGGGCATTCAAGGTAAGGATAAGAACGTTTCCCATCCTTGGTTTGTTGATTCTGGCGCATCGAATCATATGACTAATTGTTTTGATTTTCTGCACAATGTTCGACCGTATCATGGTACACAACACATTCAAATTGCAAATGGTAGTAATACTTCCATTGCTGCCGTTGGAGATCTTAATTCATCATTTCGTAATGTGTTTGTGTCACCTGAACTTTCTACTAGTTTACTTTCAGTTGGTCAATTAGTGGATAACAACTGCGATGTGCATTTTTCTCGTGGTGGTTGTGTTGTGCAGGATCAAGTGTCGGGGCAAGTGATCGCGAAGGGGCCTAAAGTGGGCAGATTGTTTCCTCTACACTTTACTATTCCTAGTCTTTTGTCTTTAGCTTGTACTACTGTCACAAATCAAAATGCAGTTTGGCATAAGCGTTTGGGGCATCCAAATTCTCTTATTTTGTCTCATTTGTTAAGTAATGGTTTCTTGGGTAATAAATATCAAGTTTCTTCCCGTAATTTGTCATTTGAGTGTTCTACGTGTAAACTTGCCAAAAGTAAAACTCTTTCATTTTCTTCTCATGGAAGTCGTGCAAACAAATGTTTCAAAATTATTCATAGTGACGTATGGGGTATCACTCCTGTTATATCTCATGCCAACTATAAGTATTTTGTAACATTTATAGACGATTACAGTCGCTTCACTTGGGTGTATTTTCTTCGCTCCAAGTCTGATCTCTTCTCGGTTTTTCAAAACTTTTTAGCCTATGTCGAGACTCAATTTTCTACCGGTATTAAAATTTTACGATCTGATTCTGGTGGAGAATACATGTCTCATGACTTTCAAACATTCTTGCAACAGAGAGGCATCATTTCTCAACGCTCTTGTCCTTATACGCCTCAGCAAAATGGTGTTGCTGAACGTAAAAATCGCCATTTGCTGGATGTCGTCCGAACTTTATTGCTTGAATCCTCTGTTCCCTCTAGATTTTGGGTTGAAGCTTTATCCACTGCTGTATACTTAATTAATCGCCTCCCTTCTCAGGTGTTAGACTTTGATTCTCCTTTTTATCGTCTCTATGGCAAGCCTCCCAATTATCATACTCTTCATACTTTTGGATGTATTTGTTTTGTTCACTTACCTTCTCATGAACGTCATAAACTTGGAGCCCAGGCCGTTCAATGTGCATTTATGGGTTACAGTAGTAGTCAAAAAGGTTTCGTATGTTATGATGCCTCTGCTCAACGTCTTCGTATTTCTAGAAATGTGGTTTTCTTTGAAAATCAATATTTCTTTCCATCACATGTTGTCCCTTCTCCTGGTCTTACTACACTTCCGACCTTTGATGATGTATCTCTTCCTATTGAGCGCTTCAACCCTAGTAATGTGTATACGAGACGTCGACCACCTTTGCCTCTTTCCGACACCGAGCCGCCACCTGAGCCTCCTATTCCTGCAAGGAGATCTGTTAGAACCTCTCATCCACCAGATAGGTATGGCTTTCCACATACTTCGCTCAGTGTAACTCTGTCTAGCATCACTGTCCCTACTTGTTATTCCCAGGCAGTTAAGCAGGCAAATTGGGAGAAAGCCATGCAAGCTGAGCTTCAGGCTCTTCAGGAGAATCACACTTGGGATGTTGTTCCATGTCCTTCTGGTATTAAACCCATTGGTTGTAAGTGGGTATATTCTCTAAAGCTTCGTTCCGATGGTTCTCTCGATCGATATAAAGCTCGATTGGTTGCTCTTGGTAACAGGCAGGAATATGGATTGGATTATGATGAGACCTTTGCTCCAGTAGCTAAGATGACTACCGTGCGAACTATTCTTGCTATTGCGGCTTCGAGGGGTTGGTCTCTTCGTCAAATGGACGTTAAGAATGCATTTCTCCATGGTGATCTGAAGGAAGACATTTTTATGACCCCTCCACCAGGATTATTCTCAACTCCATCTTTTGTTGTGTGCAAGCTAAAGCGTTCCCTCTATGGCTTGAAACAGGCCCCTCGAGCTTGGTTTGAAAAGTTTCGCTCCACTTTACTTGGTTTTTCATTTGTTCAGAGTCAGTATGATTCTTCATTATTCCTCCACAAAACTGAGAAGGGCATCGTGGTCCTTCTTGTTTATGTTGATGATATTGTGATCACTGGGACGGATTCTGTGTTAATTCAACAACTTCAAGAGCGGCTACATGCATCATTCCATACGAAAGATCTTGGTTCTCTCCAGTATTTTTTGGGCCTTGAAGTTCGATCAGACGCTACGGGTACATTCCTTCACCAACATAAATATACGCAGGATTTGATTTCTTTGGCTGGGCTTCAGTCTGCTTCTTCCGTTGACACGCCTTTGGAGGTCAATGTGAAGTATCGTCGTGAGGAGGGTGAGCCCCTTTCCTGATCCCTTATTGTACCGTCAGTTAGTTGGGAGCCTGAATTATCTGACCATTACTCATCCTGACATTTCATTTGCTGTTCAACAAGTCAGTCAGTTTATGCAGACTCCTAGGCATCTTCATTTAGCTACTGTTCGTCGTATTATTCGTTATCTGAAGGGCACTTCCTCTCGTGGGATATTTTTCCCTGTAGGGTCTTCTACTCGCTTAATTGGCTACAGTGATGCTGATTGGGCTGGCTGCCCTGATACTCGTCGCTCTGTTACAGGCTGGTGTATGTTTCTTGGTGATGCGCTTATTTCTTGGAAAAGTAAGAAACAAGATCGCGTTTCTAGGTCCTCCACTGAGTCCGAGTATCGTGCAATGTCCTTTGCCTGTTCTGAAATTGTTTGGCTACGTGGTTTGTTAGCAGAACTTGGCTTTCCTCAAACCGATTCCACTCCTCTCTATGCTGATAATACTAGTGCCATTCAGATTGTTGCTAATTCTGTTTTTCATGAACGCACTAAGCATATTGAGGTGGATCGTCATTCGATTCGTGAGGCCTTTGATAATCATGTTATCACGCTTCCTCACATCACCACTGATCTTCAACTTGCTGATGTGTTTACCAAGGCCATGACTCGACCACGTCATCAATTTCTCATTGGCAAATTGATGCTTCTTCATCAGCCGAATCAATTTGAGGGGGGATGTTAACGTGAGTAAAAGTGATTCAGCCCAGCCCAACCCAGTCCAGTTTAAGCCCAAGTCCAATAAAGCTGGCAGCATCTCCTTTACTTAGGGCAATAGCCAATCACGCATATTAGAATCTGTCATTATCTTGTACATAATTGTTTTCCTCTTATATCTACATGTACAGCTAGAAATTAGAAGTGATTAGCGCAGATTCATCTCTAATTTCTTAGAAATAGTTGTATATATATGAAAAGCCTATCATTGATGAAGGCATTGAGACAAATTGACAGAAGTTGTAGTAAAAACACTCTGAGCATTATTGGCTGAATGAATCTGACTTTGTTGGCTAATAACAGGTTTAAGGAGAGCCATGAGTTGTGAAATTTGCTCTTGATTTAATGCCATCTGAGTTTTGTTGCTCTCAACCTGGCATGCAGGAGATAAGGATGCCATGGGTTGGTTTGCCGATCCCTTCTCTTTCTCATTTAACTTGTAGCTTG